TTATTTTTTTGCACAAATAATTTTTGTATAGGAAATTTATATATTTTCTTCTAGCATATAGTAAAATTTGTTGTTAAAAATTATTATTTACAGAGAAAATTTTACATACTTTTGAGGTAAATGCTTGTAATTTTTATAAAGAATTGTTCTTTGGAATTAGTAAAAGTTATTCTAGAAATAACAATATTTTTAATACACTGAAAAAAATGCCTAAACGATTTGAGCATCCATTATAGCATTAAGGTTACTTTAACTAGGAATCTTGATTATATTGACAAATTTAGTGCTGTAGTAACCAGGATTCCTAGTTTAAAGTAACCAAAATTCTTAGTGGATGACTCTCGTAACTAGGAGCATAGTCAAATCGCCTAGGAATTTTTTTCAGTGTACATAGTAAATTTTACGTATTGTTGGAGGAAATTTCACCATGTCCATTATAAATTTAACTAATTTTTACTGAAATTTACAATAATTTATTACTTATTTAAAAATAATCTCTTTTTTTAATCTGAAAATACTTGTCAAATATTTTATGACAAAAATTTTGGAGCGACACCGAAAAAAATCTCGATGGTATTATTAACTATGACTCTACACTGAAAAAAAAAGTTCATTGAATCAAGTAAATGCATTTTCTTGACCTGATTTATTTGAAACAAACCCATATTTTCTTATTGGAAGAAATTTATTTTCTTGTGTCAAGTAATTTTGAGCATTGATCAAAGTTATTGAAATAAGAAAATATGGGTTTGACATAAGTAAATATCTTACTGTTTCAAACGAACTGTTTTACATGCGCCAAGTCTCGAAAAAGTATTGAATCAAGAATATCATGTTCTCACGTCAAGTAATTTACCTTGAGTCATTTGGTATCTTGAGTCAAATAATTTTTTTATTTCCTTTAAAGCAACTATTTATTTCATCCAACACCCATAGTCTTGAGCCAAGAAAATGGGAAGATTAATACAAGTTAATAATTGTTTCAACTCAATTAAAAATTATTTTGTTTCAAAGAAATATTAATTAATCTAAGCATTTCTTTTACTTGAAGCATTTCTATATTCTCATGTTTCAAAATCATTAATTTCTTGCGAGAATGTTATATTTTCTGGAATGAAATATTTTATTTATTCAATTCAATTAAGTGTAAGATCTTAATATAAGTAAATATTTGTTTCAAGTTGATTAAAAATTACATTCAATTAATCCCATATTTATTTGAAGAAAGAAATTCATTTTCTTGTGTCAAGTAATTATTAGCATTGAACAGAATTCTTGAATTAAGAATTTAGTATTTGGCGGAACTAAATATGTAATTATTTCAACCAAATATTTTACTTTTCCGAAGTACCAAAAAGTAATGAATATAGAATATCATGTTCTTAAGCGAAATAATAAAGTATTATCTGGAGAATTCATGTTTCTTGAATCGAATCATTTTATTTATTTGCTTTGAAACTTTTTTTTACTTAACGCAATGCCGGTGTTCTTGATCCAAGAAAATATTTTTCTTCAAATGTATATGCAACTTAAATATCAGTTTTTGAAAACTGTCCATTGAGGCTAGGATGGCATAGTGGTAGCGTGACGGCTTCTGGAGCGTGCAACCCGAGTTCAATTCCTCCGACCGTGGAAAATTTTCTTTCAAGGTATATTTGTTGTATTTGTGTTAAGTATTAATTAAATGTAAATATATATGTAAAATAACAATTATTTAATTATTTAAATTTAAATAAAAAATATAAATGTTAATTAATTAAATAATAAAAATGTTTGACCTAAGTATTAGAAAAGATGGGATAGGGGTAAGGGGGGGGGTAATTTAAGTAAATAATTTACTTGTATTGAGAAAGTATTTTTTTGATTGAAAACTATAAATTTTCTCAAATTAAGAAAATATTTTCTCGGACAGAGAACATACTTTCTTGATTTGATACATAAATTATTTTGAATTAATATATTCTGCATTTCTTACATGCTACTTAATTTCTTGATGGAATTCCATATTTTCTTGGATCAAGAATATCTGTTCTTCTCACAAAATAAATGTTTTCTTCATTTAAATCTTGAATTATTTGAACGAACGTTACAAAACATTGAATGAATCGAATAAAATAATTCAATTAACTATATATATTCTTAGAACAAGAAAATATTTTATTCATTTAATACATTTCATACTTCGTATAAGAAGACTAACTTCTTGGTCGAATTCCATATTTTCTTGGATCAAGAATATATGTTCTTCTCCCAAATATCCTATGTCAAGAAAATCGTTTTCTTGAATCAATACTTTAATAGTCTTGGCCGTATTCAATCCCACGATTTGCTTCAACCAAGAAAAATTTTCTTGGTTCAATACTTTTTTTTTCAGTGTATAGTTAATCTTAATCTAGTAAAAGTAATAAGGATTCCTAATCATTATGGTTAGTATCGCTAGGTTGATTCAACAAATTCAAGCCTGGCAAAAACAACCCTGCAAATCCTAGTCAAATTGACTAGGATTTTAGTAATTTTGCCTATTTCCATAATGCGCACGCGTCTGCTTCTGTTCTGACAGTGTTTACCTCTATATCTTTCGCGTCATTTATTGTGATTTCGTAAAACGATTTTTTATCATTACTCGCGTCTATTTTTTGTACATAAAATGGAGTTCTTACATACATCAAAATTGCTGGTTTCTCGGAACCTCTGGAAATATAGATAGTCCATGTTTTAGAAAGTAAACTATTTAATTATATTAGTCAATTCTTTCAGACTTTTTTGGTTAGGTTTTTTTGGTTCTAGTCGACCACCAAATAAGTTGATCATGCGCATAAGCTGTGTTGTGTCTCTGTTTCTCGTAAAAATTGTGCGAGTAAGATGTAATATCTAATGTTTACATTTAGCCGGTCTTAGTGAGATACATATATAATACATTTCGTTTTAAAAATTATTTATTTATTTTATTTAAAAAAATGTCGTGTTGTGTGCCAGGATGTAAAGAAAGAAAAAGAGTCTAAAAACATTAGTCTCTTCTATCCTTCTACGGTATGTAAATATACTCTAGTTATAAACACAATTCTTCTTAACCATTTTCGCAAAATTTTTCCCTTTTTATAAATATATTATTAAATTATTTCGGAAATCTAAATAATATCACAATTACAAATAAATAAATTTGCTTTTCAAATTAACACAGTTTAAACTATGTAATATTTACCTTGACATAACCACACTTTTCATCTATGTCAACACTGAACTTTAGTTCAATGCGCATGATCGACTTATTTGGTGATCAACTAGAACACAGTGAGTCTGGCACTTTTCGTGCATATTTCTCAGACATTTGTATAGAAGCAGAGTTCGGTCTCCTTACTCTTCCTTCCTGGTTTCAATATAATTCGTCGAAATTTTTACGCACGTGGTGACAACATTTTTACTATTTTAATCGCGCAGTGTGTTTGAAAATTTACCTTTGCAATAATTTGTGTATTTAAATTTATTTTCATTTGAATGTCATAAATAATTAAAAATAAATAGTTTTTGACAAGTGTATAAAATTGTGTACTCGAAATGTATAAAACATCATCTGATTAAGTATTGTATTTTGACTCGAAAATCTAGTGTCTATTAAAAAATTAAAAACCAAGTCGTGTTTAGTGTAGTGGTTATCGTTCCGGGTTTCAAAGTGCGTATTCGTTAGGTTCAGGTGTTCACGTCCCCCCTGCGTCAAATATTTATTTCATAAGTTTAAATTAATTCCAAGGAATATAAATACAAAGTCAAATATAAATATGTTCAAATACAATAATTAATTTTTTTATTTTTTCTTTTAATTAGTTTTTCTCTTTTATTTGATAATAAGAATTTGATTAGCAATTTCAAATAATTATGATATGTACACAGTGTAAATCTAATATTATTCTCCTAATCAATTTGACCATTTTTTCCTGATTACATCGACTTAAGGTACACTCTCACCTCACTGCTTGCCTGCCTGCGCAGGCAGGCGCCATAAGAGTGAGAGAGAAAAAACATTTAATTTGAATTTTCTTACTCTCTTACTCCTATGTGTTACCATGTCAACCTGCAGGCAGGCAGGCAGGCAGTAGGAGCTGTGCTAGCGCCTTAATTTTCCTGGTCACTTTAACTATGCTTGAATCTTATTACTTTGACCAGGATTCTATAGTTGGCTCCTCTCGTAACTAGGAAACCTAGTCAATTCCTGGTATACGGGTCCTAGGCATTTTTTTCGGTGGAGTTTTTTTAGTTCCAATCTTAAAAGGTTTTGATTTTCGCATTTTGCAAATTTATGTGATTAAACATCTTATTTTCATGCAATTTTCAGTTTTAATTAAAGATCACAGTCCTGCATAAAAATATATATAATAAATAATTGAATCGCTAATTCTGAAAAGTTTTCAATTCTGATAATCGTAAGAGTCATTTTTACTTAGCAAGTGATAGTAAAAATGACTCTTAAGGTTTTCAGAGTTGAACCCTTTTCGAAATTAACGATTCAATTGTTATACCTTTTATACCAATGTTATTTACATAAGTAAATATTTTCATATTTATTAACTATAAATTATTTATTTATATTTTTCGATTGTTTCTTTTCTGAAAATATAAATAAATAATTTATAATAAATAAAAATTATTTTTTGAATACAAAATTCAATTATTAATAATTGTTATAGTTATGTTATAGTTTTATATTAATTATAAATATTCTAGTTTTATGTTATAGTTTATTTTTTCGAACAATGGTTTTTTTTTGATAATTTTTTATACATAGCTTTTAAGATAATATTTTGTTTGCGAAAGTAATCCTCTGATTTGCGGTTGATTAGTTCGACGGTAAATTACCACAGATAAAAAAAAGTATGGTGCCATCAAAGATGCGTATCCAGCTAATTTAGTTGGAATTTATTTTTTCCCTCACAGAATTTCGCCCCTTTCTGTAATGAACCCCCACTACCGGCCCACGTGTATCTCTGAGGCACCGAGAGTTTGAAAAGACGACTCAGTCGCAAGAGAAGTGCCCGGCCAGCAACACGTGAAATTAATGTGGTTTTGAATATTCGTCTAAATTTTTCTATTATTTATAAAGCAAAAAAAAGTGTTATCAGTGAAACTGTTTTTGTGTTAAAGTCTTTCCTTTTTTTCTTGTACTTTTTGTTCTTTTATATATTTTTTTGAGTTTTCTGTAAAAAAACAAGGTGCTTTTAGTTTTTATGTGGATTATGTACGAGTCTCAACGTTAACCTTTCTTAGAGGTAAGTTTTTCTCCATTTATTGTAATTTTTTTATTCCAAATTTGGAATAATTTACACTATTTTTTTGTGTACATTTTTCTCCATTTATTGTAATTTTTTTTATTCCAAATCTGGAATAATTTACACTATTTTTTTTTGTGTTTGATGAAAATTGAGGTGGATACATTTAATTGGCCTCCTTTTTTCAAAAAAACTTTTTTTTTTCGAGAAAAGACAATGAAAACACGTAAGAACAAGTTTTGATTTATTATTAAGGTGTATTATGTTTATGGTCTAACACCTAATTATTAAGTTCGATAAATGTTTACATTTTTGGAGTACGAAGAATTTCGATTTTGATTACGGCTTCTTGTTACTATGTATTATTTTGATATCAATTAATATTGAAAAATTCAAAACTAATTTAATGTTTTGAAAAAATGTTTTTTATTATTGAGTTTGTGTTGGAATTTAGTACAGTATGTATTAAAATGATGAGACGACCCTTTGAAATTATGTTTCAAATGTTTACGTCCTTCAAATGTAATGCGTGCTCTCTGAGAAATGAACCGCACAATAAAGACGCCGAAGATCTTTAACCTTGAATAACACGAATCTTGAACTTTTATCATTGAAAGTTTCGCATTTTTCAAATAATGAGATATATTATAATCAATCAATTTTTCTTCTACTTTTAATCAACTGACACGAGATAATTTTAAATACTTCTCAATTGTTAATAATATTAATAAAGAACAACGAGAATATGTATTATTTTAGATTTTCAGTAATCTTTTAAACTTCTCAAAGAAAAATTTTTCCAATTTTTATTTTTTATAACATTGCTATCAATATATATGAATCATATTTTTTTGGATTATTCAGTAAAAAATATTTATTATTAATTTATTTATTTTACAATGCTTTTAATTAACTATTTCTTTTGAATATATTATTTTACGATTATATTTAGTAGGTATTATTTTGAACAATTTTTTGTATCATTGTAAATATATTAAATTTAATTTTATTGTTAATAGTACACGGAAAAAAAAAGTACGTGAATTTTTCATTGACTCGGTACTTGACTTTTGGATACGACACAAAATACTAAAAACAGTCTAGTACTTTTGCATGAGAGTTTCAAAAGCAGTCAATGAAAATTTCTAGTACCTTGCTTGAGAATTTCATTGACTTCACACATCACTTTTCGACGTTCGTCAACACTTATGAACTAACCTATAACACACACATATATTCGCGTATAACTTAAATATAAACACACACTTAACACTTAAAAGTACGTATCGAATTGTTCTTATATACCACATGGTGAAATTTTTCACGACTTCTGAGACATACTATTTCACTGAAAACTGAGACTTACATAACATTCTGTTTTGTGAGAAACACAAAATAAAAAATATTTTTTTGAAAGTCAATTCTTGAAGACAAATATATATTAACACTATTTGTTTTTCATAAAATAATAGTATATTCACATCTGAAATTAACACAAACGGAAACAGACGATCAGCTGGCATTTACCTTGGGTAGAAACGCGCAACGCACACTGCGCATGCTCTACAGAATTTTCAAGCGCAGTCAACTAATCTTTCACGTACTTTATAAAACTGAACAAATGACTTTTCGTTAAAATTTAAAAAACACTGTTGCCCATACTAGTACTAAAATAACTCTAGGACTTTTCTATATTTTCTAATAAAAAGTATATGATACAGCCTTGTACTTTGTGTTCTATCCAAAAGTCAAGCACTTTCAAGGAAGGATTCACGTACTTTTTTTTTCCGTGTATATTTATTATTAAGAATTAATTAATAAGTTAATAATTATTGTTTATTGTAAACATGTGTCAAAGTTCTAAACGTGTTCAAATGAACGAAATTTATTTATTTTTTTTTGAAATTGTGATTGTGGATCACTGTTTGTTTATTAAATATTTTAATAAAAATAAATAATATATTTATTATGTGAATCATGTAAATAATGATTTTTTATTATTAGTAAACAATTTTTGTTTTTTATGGATAGCAAATATTTATTATTACTAGATAATAATAAATTATTTACTGAATTTTGTTTTAGTTTTTTTCACCATTATTTTTATTTAATATTAATTTGTTTATTTAATTATTTCGAAATTATTAATTTTGTGTTTGTTTAAATATTTTTCATATTTATTTTACAACTCTTCTTGCATTTATTATTTTATTCCTGAATTTTTACGATATTAGCTATTGAATTTTGTTATTTATTTGCTTAGATGTTTACTGTCCCTCTTGCATTCTGTTTTACAAATGTAAAATTGAATATTTGTGTATATAGGAAAAACCCAGTTTGGGTTTGTTTAATTCTCAGTGAGTGAAAATTTCCACGTTTTCATCACATGTTTGTAATTTCTGGATCCAAGTTTGGTATTAGTTCCTGTTTATGCCGTGCAATCTTAAAAGTTTATTACTTTGGTTGTGTTCTTACCTGGGTCAAGAAGGTCCTTATACTGTACACTCAAAGCCATTGTCCTTCGTCGCGCAGACAGCTCGTCAGGCTTTGCAAATACAAAAGCAAAGGTCCATTCCTCGAAACCGAAATTATCCTTCAGAAATATTATTTATTGTCAAAGTGAAACTTTACAGCTTCTCTCGACACTCGCAAAATGTAACTGAAAGAAATGCGTTGAGTTTACTGCCCGTGTAAGACAGATAGACAGACAGACAGAAATATTAATTTTGTATTTTTCATCTTTGCAGTAAATTCTTTTTTACAATATGGGGAATTTGTCAAAAATTTCATATTTTGTAGTAGTTTTGTTAATATATTTTTCTCAATTTATTTATTTCTACTCACTTTTTTAAATTCTTATTTTAAATTCATTTTTTAAATTGTTATATTTAATAACTATTGTTAATGGTTGTTATTTCTAAAAAAGAAATATTTTTCGATTTTTATTGAGTAGTAAAAACAAAAAGTGAATTATAGATATAGATACCCTTTATCTCAACATGTTTTCGCTAATATTGCTATTTTTTTATTAAAATTCAAAATTGGAACATTTTCCTTTGTTCAATAAAAACAATATTTAAAGTTCTAACAAGCAGTGAAAAATTTTCCCAGGAGAACAAATAAATTTCCAACGATTTTTTATACTCGAATTTATAAAAAGAGAGTGGAAAACTGAAAAGAATAGTATTCAACAGTCAGTTTACTCAGCAATTCTGGTAAAAATGATTTCTTATGTTGTCCGATCAACAGATATATATTTGCCTTAACGAAATTCTACCTGAAAATTTCCCTCTCCCTTAAAGGTACACCGGCCTTTGTTAAAGAAACCTTAGCGATTCGATTTCCTTTCCCTTATAAGTCCGAATTTATCTTTCTCTCTCTCTCTAAACACATCACCAAATACTGTGTGTTATAGTTTTGGGTTAAATCCTGGGGGTTAAGCTTTGACCTGATGTGAAGGTTATGAACCATAAAAAATCGGGTCAATTTGTTCTGTAAGCTTCAGTGAATTTTTCCCCATTTTAATTTTTGATCTCTTGAAAATAAATTTTATCCGTTGGGAAAACGTGACACACACATGTATTTTATATGTTTGTAAACGATATTATGATATGGGTAGAAAAAATATTCCAGGGGTTGGGTTTTTTTTCAATTTTCAAAATTTTTGTTTTCTTGAGAAATTTTCAGTAATAATTTTTCTAAAAAGAGTATTGCAATGAATGGCTGACCCTTAGAGAAATTTATTTATTTATTTATTAATGGATGGAACAATTTTACTTTCTGCTTTTTATTTTTCCCTTTTTCAATTCGGACTTATAGTAATTTTTCCATTTAGAGTTATAGGGACAATCGAGAAAAGACAATAGGTTGCAAATGAAGGGTTTCAACTGCTTTGATTAATTGATAATAATAACTTGCGAAAAGCAGTTTTTCCAATTACGTTTCTCGCAATGGAATCATTAACGATTTAGAAAGAGAATATAGTTGAACTTAGAAGTTCATAAAAGGAGTTGTCATTATCGACAATTTTATTGTCTCGTCACTGTCGGTTTTAGCATGTTCACAAGTTACGCTTGATTGCGGGAATTAATGATATGGGAAAGTGTATAGATGTTCCCATAGTTATTTAGCACTCCCATATGTATATGTTTCGAATTCTCGTTTTTTTCGTCATCATCATGATCATCATCATCAAGGGATTTGAAAAAGAGATTTGTAAACATAAAGTGAGATAGAATCTATCTATAGTGTATAATATTTAAAGGTTACTTGTTTGTAGTTAATTTCTTCTTTTTGCTATATGTATCAATTTACTTTTTAATATAGAGAGTAGCAATTTAATCACCGATACAGAAAATATTCAGTTCGTATTTGAACCGTTCGCTCGAATAACGGCTTAAGTGTTTGTGAGGCATTTTGGAAAATCTTAAAACTAACACTAATTTATAAATTATAAGTAATTTAAAGCATTACTATTTAATTTAATAGGTTTTGTTTTAAACAATTCTAATCAAACATTATAATTTAGATGTTAATTAACAGGATGGTAAGCGTCTTTTGAAAAACGGCTTAAATCAACTTAAGCCATTATTCGAGCGAACGGTTCATTTTATACTTGCGAAGGATATAACATTTTTTAGTTTAGTGTGTTTTTCTTTTTGTTTAATTCTGATTAGAGGAGGAACTTTCGAAATTATTTATATACATATTTGCAATTTAGTTCAATTAAATGATAATTATTCCATTAATGGATAGTAATTATTGTAATTATTGGGGCCATTCTCTAATTCTGATTAAAATACAGGTTAATTGATTAAAATCAAGATGTCTTGATATTAATAAAAATAAAAAAACTACAATAAACATTTTTTAATAAATGTATTGTAGCTTTTAGTGAAAAAATTCTTAATTCTTTTTTGTTTTCTTTTTTGAGAAAAAGTTGATTTTCATCTCGAATCATTACCTTTTTCGTTTTCACTTTGTCTTTTATTCAATTTGTCTTGCAAGAAAGCATTTTTTTCTCGTCTTGCTCCCTAATAGACATTTTACATCATTTTAATGGTTTTTTGTCTGCTCCTGACAGTTTGTAAACTCACTAATTAAGAAAAACGGCAGTGAAACTGTTTTTAATAATGTACATAGAACTCACTTTATAGACGATTAGTGCAAGATATTCATTTCTTCCGGCTACGAAATAGCCACTATAAAGTTGCATTCTTTACTTGAAAGTAAACCCATGAAAATGTGTAGGATTTTTATGGATTCTTTTTTGGATTGAATTTTATTATCAACGGACTAACATTAAACGGGTTAAAAATGTAATTATCTGAGAAGAAATAATGACCATCTTTAATGACTCTCTCTCTCTCTCTCTCTCTCTCTCTCTCTCTCTCTCTCCGCGGGTATTATATTCTAAATATCTAAACTTCCACTTTCATCTCGCGTACATTAAAGAATCGAGATTTAATATTTCTTCTTTCAATAATGATGAGAAGAAAAAGTTTCGCAATAATCGGGCAATTAACAGCCATTAAGTTAATTATAATATTTGGTGCGAGTCTTTCATTGTTGTTAAAAGATCGTTTGTGTTGCAATCAGTAAAATAAATCCTCGCAAGATAAGAGAAAGCTCTCGAGACTTTAGTCCAGTTGAACTCAGCATCTCAGCATCTTCTTTCGATTTGTCGATCAATGCTCGTTGTGGACCGAAAAAAATAGAAAAATAAAAAAAACGAAATCAAAAAAAGATACTTGAACAAGATAGAAACATAAAATTCTAGGATCTTATCTTTTTATATCTTCTCTTCACTTGGATTAAACTCCGTACATTTCTACCATTATTTTACTCTTAGGAAAATGTACGTAATCTTCTTAAAGTAAACAAAAACTAACACTGGGAATATTTTTTCGAAAAACAATCTATTCTAAAATACTTTTTTTTGGGAAATTTCTCTCATTTTCTGAACAAACAAATCGGTTCGTTTACTTTAAAGTTTCAGTTTAATAATAATGAGGAAAAAATCACTCTAACGAGAAGAATGTAACCTTGTCATGCAATACCTTCTTTGGTCTTTGCGTAATTTTTCTCCTCTTAGATAATAATTATTGTATTGTTTAATTTTTCTGTTATATTTTCAATACAAAGGAATTTAAAATTAAATCACACAACTTTTATATTGGTTTTTAAATATATTTTCCCATATAGAAGAGAAGATTCTTTTCAGCCAGCTTTTCAGTTAGTTGAATATTTATTATTATCGCTGTAAAAAAATTAGCCTTGAACGTGCACCATGCAAGTTTCCCTTCTTTGATCGTATCATAAATTTAACTTGAATTTCGTATAGAGAATTGAGCCACTCATTTATCTTCAGCAAATGCAAAAAAAAAATATATTACCATTTTAGGGCAAGAAAGGACAGTGTTTATTACGAAACGAGGTTACTTCGAATTATTTGCCAGATGAAAACTCTCAAGTTGCTGAACTGGTTACATTTTTCTTTATTTCATTCGTTTTCGTTTAATATTTCATTTCAAAAATTCTAATCAAAAAGTAAAATTTTTCAAAAGAAATATCTTTTAATTTTTATTAGAATTTTTTTATTTTATTTCTACTTGTTTTGTTATGTTGAGGAATGAAAACTTAGGGGAAAATGTTAGTTTTGTTTCAATTTAGATTTTGGCATTTTGAATTTTAGAAAGTGTAAAATCTGAAAATTTCGAGTTTTGTCAAGGAAATAAGGTGGTCGAGACAATAAGTACCTTTCAGGTCATAAACCTTCTTCCAGGCAAAGGGATTTTCAAGTGATCCTCCCTCGTTTGCTAAAAGTAAGCCCAGAATTTTACCTGCGAGTGAACATTTGTGCGAACTTGGACATATTTGCTATAGTACTTCATTGCCAGGGTTTCGTTTCGAGACCTATAGTTGTCGATTGTTTCCCCTCTCCCCCCATTTCACCTCTTCTCTTTTTCTCAACTTCCAACTTCGTTCTTGTAATACAATATTCTACAGATTTTCACGCAAGTAAAGAATAAGCTAAGACTACTCTACTTTCTATATTGAATTAAAATTTCGTAGAAGAAAACAAAAATTATTTTTTTAAATTTAATTTTAAAAACAATTTAGGGTAAGTGTGCCAATTATGGCGCGGTTCTGGTTTAGCCGTCTTTGAAATAGAAAATTCAAAAATTATAATGAAAGAAGTAAATTTATGGCTTATTAAACTAAAAGCCCGTGTCATATAGATAATAAAACTTTTATAAAAACTTTATAAAAATTAATTATTTAAACAAAATTAAAGCAATAAGAATTAGGATTAAAAACGTCAATTATGGCGCGGTTGAGTCAATTTCGGCGCGCCAATTACGGCGGGGAAAATAACGTGTATTTAGAGGTTGTGTTGCGCGCCATAACTGGAGCACGCACATTCAATGAAAATGTGCCAATTATGGCGGGGCACAATTTTTGTACTTAAATAATTAAACCAATAATAGTTCAAATGTGTTTTTTTTCGTACAATTATATCGAGTAAGGTCGAAAATAACTTTTTCTATCATTTTCAAATAACTATATTATTCTAAAATAGTAAATAATTCTATTTTTTACAAAGTCG